AACCTTTCCGTCGATCGGAATACCCAGGGCATCAACCACCCTGCCGAGCAGTTCTTCGCCCACAGGGACGTCAACAATGGCGCCGGTACGTTTGACGATATCGCCTTCTTTTATTAGCCTGTCGTTACCAAAAACAACCACACCTACGTTGTCTGTTTCAAGGTTGAGAGCCATACCCTAAATAAAGCGATGAACAAGCTCATCCGTTATTTAAACTGACTATAAACGCTTACCTTAAGGCCACTTGAAAATTCCACCATTTCCTCAGCCTGAATGTTTCGCAGTCCATAAACCCGAGCGATTCCATCTCCAATAGAAAGAACCCTGCCAGTTTCCACGAAATCAGCCTCAGAAGATTTCGATAGTATTTTATCTTCGAGAATACTTGACACTTCAGCTGCCCCTAAGCATGAATTCTTAATAATGAAAAACGGAACAATCATCATAATATATACTAAACACTGAGTAGTTCTTTCATACCCAGGTTGTCATACTACAAAATAAAACAAATGACTTATTAACTACAACTGATAAACCTCTAGATATTAAAAATTGGTACTGATGAGGGTATAACTTTAAAATTAATTATCTAACGTCAGTTTATAAGTGTCACTCAAGTCTCTAACACTGTGGCAGTAAAATGTCCGTTTAACAGACGATTTACTTGTTGTCACCAGGCGACTTAGTAGCATACACAAGCAAACAATATTATAAACACCTATTGATAAAAGTAGATAAGTACTGAAACGGGATAAAAAATAGCAAGAACAACAAGAGGCTAGCGCTGAATCTTAAGCAGCTGTCGTTACTGGATCTACAAAAGCCTTAAGTTATGAAAAACGCGCGGTTTGAACGATGACAAATTTTAGAAGTGAAAAACCGCTGCTTATAGAAGTAGAACCAGCGGCAACGAAAAAAACTGGCTTCACAACAGTTTGCCGTTACGAAATCAGCCTTTTCTAAGTATCGGTCAAAATTTATTTCAATTTCTGCCTGCTTCGACTGTTCGACCGCTCAGTCGCTGCATAAAAAGCAGTCTTTTTCAAACGGACTGAACAAGTACCGTAAGAAATCCCCATACAACTTTCTAAAGCCGATTGAGGGAATCTAGCTACAACTAATGACATGATGCCATATGCCAGAGCAGTTGTTCTTTGCTGTGGCGTCGCCATCCTGCTTTCAGCGACCAAATAAAGGCTCGGTGCTTGATATCTAGACGTACGTTCCGGAATAATAGATTCTGCGGAAAAGATAATGAATATCGCTAAAGCAAATCGGCTAGAGAGACAAACCTTCATTCAACATGCCAAACCAAATGGAAATCTGCCAGTAGATGCGTGCCATTGACTCTACGAATGAAATCGTATTTTCTGGTCTGATGTCAAGTGAACCAAAGGCATTAAGACCTGCATTGATAGAAGTCTCAAGAATAAATAGCCTTTTTCACAATTATCCTCATATGCACATATCCATAATCTAAGACCGCAACCGGAAAACCAACCGATTAGCTTGCAGTTTTACCATTTCATGCCAAATACCGCTCTTTGAGTTTTCCTAGAAATCAGTTCAGGGAGGTAGTCATTAGCGCCTATTCCTATGATTCGGTTGTATCACGACTACAGTTAGAAAGGGAGCACATTTTTTAAGCACGTTTACTAGCTATTAATCCATAAATGCGAACATTTTCCGTTTCGACCGAATATATGCTCCACGAATGCATACGATAAAACTGAACATTCAAAAAATTTATATGGTTTAAGCGAATACCAGTACTAGTTCTGAAACGTCTTTCAGACCATGTCTAAAATGAGCACTAGGGGATACTGTTAACTATTATCTTCAGAGTTTCAAACTGGACTGTCACGCATGGATTACATCGCCGTACTAAAGAAAATTATAGAACAAGGAAGAAGCTTCCAACTACCCTGGCATGCAACATTCCTTGACTTCTGAACAGCTTTCGACTCGATACACCGTTAGTCCTTGTAGTGCGTACTGCGACACTATGGAGTACTAGAAAGCATCATCGGTTTGCAAAAAGGACAGTAAGAAGGTGCCAAAGGCGTTATTAGGACAGAGGTGACGTCGGACTGATTGAACATCAACAGAGGATTGTACCAAGAACAGGTACTTTCACCTTTGTTATTCAACGTCGTTGTGGATTGTGTCATGCGTATAAGCGCCGTCCCCAACAACAGCGAGAGTTACTATCACATGACGACTCAGCCGATGATACCCAACAGTACTCACAACAGATCTATAGTATGCTGATGACATTGTACTGCTGACCGACACCGCCAATGGCTGACAGTAATTGGAGAAGTGCCTAAGGTGGCTTAGACTATAAGCCTAGATGTTAACCACACTAGAATAATCTCGTGAGCGCCCGACAGAAATAACTGCTCAAAGATTCAATGAAGTGGAATGACCATCAAGGAGGTCGAAAACTTCGAGTACCACGGCTATTTACTGACAAAAAATTGAAGCTGCGATATGGAAGTAGAGCGGCGCTTAGGGTTGGCATCTGTGAACTAAGGGATACTCCATATAGCGCCATGAAAAGATTTTGGACACTTTCCGGAGCGCTGTCTGCGGAGCGTTTTAAAAACGCAACGGTTCCATCGAATGAAGAGCGAAAAGACCGACCTGAGAACGCTTTTGAAGAAATCAGGGGCCAGCGTCTGTCGTGGTTTGACAGAACTAATTGGAGAGAGGATGGATACATGTCCAAAACCATTTTTATCTGGGAAGCAAAAAATGGCCGCAGGCGCGTCAGAGGCCAACACTGCACCCTAAGGTAGCTGCTAGAGAGGAACTATGAACCAGGAACATGACCTCTACCGCAGCAACCAACATCGCCTAAATCATTCTGAGAAGCCAAAGCGTCAGACATCAGTAACCAGATATCCCAGATGACGATGACGATAACATAACAACGCTTTATCGCCAGGTGTTATTAAAGAAGAAAAGAAGATAAACGATTTAGCTACATGAACTTGTATTAGAAAATGAATATGTTCAAGGTGGAAAAGAAAGGAAAGTTTCGCAAAAGAACGAGACGAGTGCTGAAAAGGAAGATTACATGCAACAGCATTTGAATCTTTAGTAAACGTCTAAAATGATTTTTTACACAGTATTTTACTCGTCTCAATCAGGTTTAAACGGCACTTTTGAATTGCGAAACTAAATACTGTCTATTTCGAACCGGCTTCCCCTATTTTAACGTATTACAGTACTTTCGAAGTTAGTAAAATTGACTTCACAGTGGTTCTCAACGCAAGGAAGAGGCAGAGGATATTAGGCTAATTATATCTGCCGACATTTCGGTCAAAATACACTGCCAGCCATTGTCATGGCAAACAACTTGTAAATTGGCTGAGGATTGTAACTTGACTGAAACACGGCAGTTATAATAATGATCCATTAATATCTGTCGATTCGTTGTGAAAACAAACACTGAACCGCCAGTTGGAAAGACACAGCTGAAATCAGTTTTAAAAATCATTTCAAATTTAGATTCGATAAATGTTTGATCGATTCCATAATCGAATAACAATGGGCCGTAACACGTACATATAAATACTGATATTACAGGTTTACAAGCAATGTGCAAATTTTTAATACCACCGGTAAGAAAATAACACTTTCTGTTGGAGTTACACAACGCAGACACACGCTCTCGTTGCTTCTAGCTGCCTAGAGCGATTTATGGACTTAATCTTGCTATGTGTCATTTTACAGTAATTTTATTCACGTAAAAAGAACAGGAATTAATGAAAAAGGAACAAGCCCAATAAATCATTGCAACCTAATGTATAAATAATTCATCAGTCTGAAATCTAATATCAATTTTTGGACTCATAAATGTTGTTGTTACGGCTATCGCCATCACTGCACGGGCTTCAATAGCATCCTAATGAAGTGTTTTCCCATCTATCGTCGATTACAGGGAACGTCCGCAATCAAGCTCAGTCTGTCTTTGCCTATTTGTATCCAAATACCTTCGATCCATAGCGGATATCAACATCAGCTCAGACAGGTTCCTAAACGGTCTTAGCCTGACCACCTTTTTTCCGGTGTCATCTAAGGATCAGGGTTGCGTACACTGTAATGGAGAAAATATCGCATGGCGAACGTCTGAACACGTGCTCTAGACAATGCAGTCGTCATTATTACAGAACAATAGAGAGATGGATGATATTGCAACGGCTACGCACTGTGGTGCTAGATATAAGATGAATAAATTATGCACACGTAATTACATTCACATACACCAACGGTCGAAGGATTTTAACTACCTTGCGTCCTCAACTCTTGAAACCCTCACATCTATAGAGGATGGAATGAATGGTAGGGCCCAGGACACTTAACACAGAAGAGTGCATGTTAAGCTCAAGAATAAAGGGACTAGCTGGAATAATGAAAAATATAGCTTAACTTTGATTTTCTGACGCGCAGGGCAAACCATATCATATAACTTTAAGAAACATTTTATTTTACACAAAATCAAAACTGATAACGTTTATAATTTATTCTCCCACTGAATCCCATGAATTTGATCTTGACGAACATACACTATAATGTTTGAGTTAAAAATTGCCACTAAATAAATAATTTGCATGTTTGTTTTTCTCCTGCTTTTATTCATTTCTAAACTGAAGAAATTTCTTCAAAGCGATCATGCAAAACATAACCATATAGAGTGTGGTGTGAACAGAAAATCAGGGACTCGACTAAAATGCATAGAATCAAAATTTGAATATGGGCATTAAGTTAAAATAGGGCAAAACAGGATCGGGGGTAATGGTGTGGTATACATTGGCAGATGTGATACAGTTCAAATCAAAGCCGCGGCGTCAAATTCTTTCGATTCGTTATTAATTTTTCTGCGTAAAACATTTGCACCACAGAAACACGGAAAAAATATTTATTTAAGTTAAATTAACTTTAGAGATCGCAAGTCGACAAACTCAACTTGCAAAATAAATATGAGAGTATCAGCAAGGGACAGCTTTGGCTACACCGTTTTGGTCGGCCAGGGGCAATCATCAAGAAACTTGAGATATGAAACGGCAAATAAACACCACATACTACTAATCGCTACGTTCGACAGGTAGTGAAAAATCCATTCCTGACCCAAAGCATTGCGTAATCGTCTCTGCAAACGTTTCACCATCAGCTCAGCTTGCCAGAAATAGCACTAATGGTTTAAATCGTTGAGAAGAGTCATGCAAACAAACCTGACAGAACAGACCTTTAGTCCTTCGTAAGTTACATTGTTTAAGGTTTACACTTTGATCGA